CCGTGGAGGAAAAATCGGACTATTTGGGGGAGCTGGAGTGGGTAAAACAGTACTCATCATGGAATTGATCAACAACATTGCCAAAGCTCACGGAGGCGTATCCGTATTTGGCGGAGTAGGTGAACGTACTCGTGAAGGAAATGATCTCTACATGGAAATGAAAGAATCCGGGGTGATTAATGAAAAAAATATTGCAGAATCCAAAGTGGCTCTAGTCTATGGTCAAATGAATGAACCGCCAGGAGCTCGTATGAGAGTTGGCTTGACTGCCCTAACCATGGCGGAATATTTCCGGGATGTTAATGAGCAAGACGTACTTCTATTCATCGACAATATATTTCGTTTCGTTCAAGCAGGGTCCGAAGTCTCTGCCTTATTAGGTAGAATGCCTTCTGCAGTGGGTTATCAACCTACCCTTAGTACGGAAATGGGTTCTTTGCAAGAAAGAATTACTTCTACCAAGGAAGGATCCATAACATCGATCCAAGCAGTTTATGTACCTGCGGATGATTTGACCGACCCTGCTCCTGCCACGACATTTGCACATTTAGATGCTACTACCGTATTATCAAGAGGATTAGCTGCCAAAGGTATTTATCCAGCAGTAGATCCCTTGGATTCAACGTCAACTATGTTACAACCTCGGATCGTTGGCGAGGAACATTATGAAACTGCGCAAAGGGTTAAGCAAACTTCACAACGTTACAAAGAACTTCAGGACATTATAGCTATCCTTGGGTTGGACGAATTATCCGAAGAAGATCGTTTAATTGTAGCAAGAGCACGCAAGATTGAGCGTTTCTTATCACAACCCTTCTTTGTGGCAGAAGTCTTTACTGGTTCTCCGGGGAAATATGTTGGTCTCGCAGAAACAATTCGGGGGTTTCAATTCATCCTTTCCGGAGAATTAGACGGTCTTCCCGAGCAGTCCTTTTATTTGGTGGGTAACATCGATGAAGCTACCGCGAAAGCTATGAACTTAGAAGAGGAGAGCAAATTGAAGAAATGACCTTAAATCTTTGTGTACTGACTCCTAATCGAATGATTTGGGATTCCAAAGTGAAAGAGATTATTTTATCTACTAATAGTGGACAAATTGGGATATTACCAAACCATGCCCCCATTGCCACGGCTGTAGATATAGGTCTTTTGAGAATACGGCTAAACGACCGATGGTTAACGGTGGCTCTTATGGGCGGTTTCGCTAGAATAAGTAATAATGAGATCACCATTTTAGGAAATGGTGCGGAAATTAGTACTGACATTGATCCACAAGAAGCTCAACAAACTCTTGAAATAGCTGAAGCTAACTTGAGTAGAGCTGAGGGTAAGAGACAAGCAATTGAGGCAAATCTAGCTCTCAGACGAGCTAGGACACGAGTAGAAGCTGTCAAAGTGATTTCCTATTAGTAGTCAATACATTCAATATTCAATCAAAATCAAAAGAGTTCTTTATTAGACACTACACACTACATCTTGATTCCACAAATTGAACACAATGAAGTCTAATTTGATTAATCTGATGATAGAACGAAAAAAAGAGGATGGGTAGAAAAACTTATTAGATACCATGGAATCCGGTATCTAATAAGTTCTACCTACTATTGGATTTGAACCAACGACTCCCGCCGTATGAAAGCAATACTCTAACCACTGGGTTAAGTAGGTCATTTATAACCACAAAAAGGGTCTCTATCACTTCGATGGATTATAGGGAAAATATGTTTTCTAAGCAATATAAATCTTTTACCAGTAAACATAAATGGATCAGAGAGTTATCATGTGGAATTATGGGATATCCTTCTTGACAAGAAATTGTCTCTATGTTAAAATGGTTATGACAAGGGCTATAGCTCAGTTAGGTAGAGCACCTCGTTTACACGTGCGCCAATGTTTTTCAAGGGAGCCCATTATGCAATGACCATAATTGATCTTTTTGAGAAGTCGATGTCTTACTCCGTAGATTCGAGAGAACAAGAGAAAAATAGCCTGACAAATTTGGTTTGATCCGGTTCAGGTGCAAATTCCGGTGCCAAATCAAATAGAACCTACCATTGTAAGGTAAATGCTCAGTCCATTCAATGCCAGGCATAATGAGTATAAGGATCTCAAAAGAACCTCTTTTCGTCCTATGAGCTTTGAGGTGTATGAAGTCTCATATTTTACTCTTGCAGCGGAGCGATAGAGACTGCATTTCACTTAGGTTGATCTAGGCCAAAGGCAGACCTAAATAAAGGTCACCCTTCTTTGAAAAACTTTGGTATTGCTCCTAGATCAGGATACAAATAATGAATCAGAGCACATGGAGCCATCTCATTATCTTCTTATCTTCCTCTAAAGAAAAAATATGGTGGACTAACTGATCTTTACATCAGTTGATGAAAGAGCCCAATGCAACAAAATGCATGTTGGGTCTTTGAAACAGTTCGAATCATTTCGATAATAATCAGTTTTCTCTGTTTTACCGAGAAGGTCTACGGTTCGAGTCCGTATAGCCCTAATACATTCCATTTTTGTTTAGTCAAGAAAATAAACACAATAATTCATTCCAACGGACTGAATTGGTATTTGTCAAATATCGGATCAAATACCCATCTCTCTTCATCCACTTTCATGAATGAATTACATATGATATTTTTCCTCTTTTCCTGTCCATGATCAAAGATTTCACACTCTTTTTTGCTTTGCCAATCCCGGTCAATTTATGAAAGAATCCTGTCTCAAGACTTCAACCTGACCCAACCCAATCCTAAGTCGCCATGGATCTAGGACCTATTCTTTATTGATCTTAAGTCTTTGTAGAAGCCCTATGACTAAGTAGAAGCCCTATGACTAATCATTTTTTGGCGGAACAACAAACCTAAGAGATTCTTTCAATTTGTTTCAAAGATAATGTAGGGATAATTCATTATTCCTAAATACATCAATGTTCCTTCTTCTATATTCTTATATTCTAAATTCTAAGATAAGAGTTGAGTGGGTTTAGGGATTTTTTTTCATTCCAAAACGCGATTTTAGTACTCTATTTTCATATCATATAAATCCATATCATACATATCATATAAATAATAGACTAGATTTCTTATTTATTTTTCTTCTTTTTTTTCATTGAATTGAAAATTCCATTTGTAATTCTTAATTATTGAATTTCTTTCATTTCTTCATTTACTATAAGATAAGAGATTCTTTACTTTCACTTTCTATTTCTAATTCTATTCTAATTCTAAGATAGAAGATCAATATGAAATAGAAAAAAGAGAAGTAAGATAAGTCTTTACTTTATAAGCATGAGCTAATTCATAGATCTTTAGGCTTTGATTGCCGAGGAATAGAGACTTTACAAATAAAAACCGAGGATTGGGATTCCATTGCTGTCATTTCATATGTATATGGTTACAATTATTTACGCTCCCAGTGTGCCTATGATGTAGGACCAGGCGGATTTTTAGCTAGTGTGTATCACCTTACGAAAATACAGTATGGTATAGATAAACCAGAAGAGGTATGCATAAAAGTATTTGCTCCCAGGAGTAATCCTCAAACCCCGTCAGTTTTCTGGATTTGGAGAAGTGCTGATTTTCAGGAACGGGAATCTTATGATATGTTGGGAATTTCTTATGAGAATCATCCTCGCCTTAAACGTATCTTGATGCCTGAAAGTTGGATAGGCTGGCCCTTACGTAAAGATTATATTACGCCCAATTTCTATGAAATTCAAGATGCTCATTGATTGATAAAAAACCACTTTTTTACTTATACGACACGATTCCAGATTTCATTTCAATTTCAATCAATGAGCATCTTGGCATTCCCCTTTTAGATGAAACAGAGTAACTGGACTTTCATTCGTATTGTGGAGGGAGGGGCTAAAATAAAAAAAGAAAAAGAGGCTCTCATTGCTATTCCCCAATTGGGAAGATATCATAGAATATACATTTCGTATGAGCAGAAAAAATAGGATGACTCAAAAGAATTCTGCACCATGAACTTTGTACCGCGTGCATCACTTAGTGGGGACCCCAGAAAGTAACTTGAGCAAGAGTGAAAAAAAAATATGAAATTTGAAAGAAAAGACAGAAGAGACGAAATGAAGAAATGCAAAATTATAAGAATCGGAGTTTCTTTGTACTGTGTCTGAAATACATCCTTTCTATTCCTATCCTTCCACTCTTTTATTGAATCCTTTTAGCTAATCTTTTTTAGCTATTAGATTTGAGATATATACGAAAATCTCACATACTTTTGGAATAAGAAAAGTATGAACAGAGAGGAAAAAAATACAAATGAAAAAGAAAAATATCTATCCCGATCCGTCTCAATGAATTAATTTCATTTGTATGAGGTATGAATATCTATCCGATACATTATTCACGTGTCAGGAACCAGATTTGAACTGGTGACACGAGGATTTTCAGTCCTCTGCTCTACCAACTGAGCTATCCCGACCATTTCCCGTGCATCATCCTAGCAGAGTACTTATATCTATGTCAATGAAAAAAAAACTAAAAAATAAAATCTTAACAAATTGGACCTATTTTAGATCTTCCAAAAGAAGACTTTTTTTGTAAATGTAAGGAAAAATATATGGACTATGAATGATTCAATAACGGAGATTCCTTGAACATATATGTTCATATCGTACTATAAAAAACAAATGAGATTGGATTGGAAGAAGATACGAGTATTTCTATTTGGATCCATTTGTGAAAGAACAGAGTGAATGAAATGATAAATATATTTCATTTTGTTTAAACTGAGCCACTGATGAAAAAAAAAAAAGAAAGAGGATGAGGATAAATAAAGAGCGAGGAAGTAAAATGGGCTTTTTATTGGGGATAGAGGGACTTGAACCCTCACGATTTAAAAATTCGACGGATTTTCCTATTACTATAAATTTCATTGTTGTCGGTATTGACATGTAAAATGGGACTCTCTCTTTATTCTCGTCCGATTAATCTTCAAAAGATCTATCAAACTCTGGAATGAATCATTTTATCACTGAATATTCGAATTCGATTCTTTTTTCAGCTTTAATTGGAATTGATTCACAATAACTCTTCAATTTTTCATAGATTTTTTGATCTCTATGATTCTAATTAATAGAGGGTTTCTATAGGTCCTTATCTCATACTATTACTCTCATACTATTACTCATATTAAGAGTAATATAAATAAGAAAGAAATAAAGAATATAGAAATAGTATTCTATTATTAGATTCTAGAATAATTAGAATAATAGAATGAAGAAATATATAGATTCTTAATCTAATTCTTAAGATTAAGATAATAGAATATATATATATTCCTAGAATCTATATTCTATATAGAATATTTCTATTTTCATATATAGAGATACAGAATAGAATTCAATATCAGATTTGGGTTGTGATTAATCGTTTGCTATGTCAGTATGTATACGTACGTATTAGGCGCATATAAGGTTATCCTTTCTGTCATTTCGATAGAAGGTTTTTAGCTACTAACGTAACGTAGTCAATTTCATTCGTTAGAACAGCTTCCATTGAGTCTCTGCACCTATCCCTTTTTATTCTCATTTTCCATCATTTTTTCTCTCAAAAAAAAGATTTGGCTCAGGATTGCCCATTTTTAGTTCCAGGGTTTCTCTGAATTTGGAAGTTACCACTTAGCAGGTTTCCATACCAAGGCTCAATCCAATCAAGTCCGTAGCGTCTACCAATTTCGCCATATCCCCCTTTCCTTTGAAACAAGAATCCAGTTGTAATTCCATCCACCTCTTTCATTTATCTTGGCACTATTGAATTCATTAGGTAATGATTTCTATATTTCTATATAGAAAAAGTGTATGCTGCTATTTTATTTTTTTGCCCACCCTCTATTCTATCATTTCATCTCTATTGGATGAACCCTATTTGTTTCAATACGAAATGATTCTATCATTGATGTATCCGCAATTCAATACGGATAGATATATCCCACATATATATATATGCCTTTACTCCTCCTTCATTTTTACAGTAATCTTTGGTATAGTGTAACGGTCGATATTCATTCTTTTTTTTTTTCATTTCTAATTCTAAATTCTAATTGAATTGATATATTGATATTTTATTTTCATATATTCATTTCATATATTCATATATATATATATATGAATATTATATGAATAATATGAATATGGATTATATGAATATGGAATTGAATTTCTATTTAGATATCTAATTTATCTAGATCTAAATAGTTTTCTTTTCTATTTTAGAAATAGAATTTTTCTAAATAGAATAGAAAATATATAACTAATAACTAAGAAATAGAAGAAATTGAAATAATCAATAAATGAAATAATAAGAATAATCACTAGGTAATAACTAAGATCCAATAGTTTCCTGTATTCCTATACACTATTGCTCTTATATCCGCCCGCTTAGCTCAGAGGTTAGAGCATCGCATTTGTAATGCGATGGTCATCGGTTCGATTCCGATAGCCGGCTCTTTTTCTTTATCGATTTTTTTCTTTCCATGATTGAAAATCTCTACTCTCGCTTTCGCTAAATGTCGGGTCACCAATCTATTATGTCATGGTAACTTGCAGCCATAGCTATGAATAAAAAAGTTGACTAGAACAATTAGATCTCTACAGAAAAAATTGGAAAACGTAACCTTCGCTTGAATTTCCTAAATTTCCTATATATACAAAAAATCCGAATATTGATAAGATTTATTTGATTCTGTTTTGTAGGACTTTAGTAAATTTCGTTTTGCTTTGCTAATCCTTTAGTTCAGTCTGAATTTATATCTTTTTGTCAAAGAAAAGTGAATCAAAAAGGAGCCTTTATATGTCTCGTTACCGAGGACCTCGTTTCAAAAAAATACGCCGGCTGGGGGCTTTACCGGGACTAACTAGTAAAAGACCCAGATCCAGAAGTGATCTTCAAACCCAATTGCGCTCTGGAAAAAGATCACAATATCGTATTCGTTTAGAAGAGAAACAGAAATTGCGTTTTCATTATGGTCTGACAGAGCAACAATTACTTAAATATGTGCATATTGCTGGAAAAGCCAAAGGGTCAACAGGCCAGGTTTTACTACAACTACTCGAGATGCGTTTGGATAACATCCTTTTTCGATTAGGTATGGCTTCGACCATTCCTGGAGCCAGACAATTAGTTAACCATAGACACATTTTAGTTAATGGTCGTATAGTGGATATACCAAGTTATCGTTGCAAACCCCGAGATATTATTACTACGAAGGATAAAGAAAGATCGAAAGCTCTGATTCAAAATTATCTTGTTTCATCCCCCCACGGGGAATTGCCAAACCATTTGACTATTGACTCCTTACAATATAAAGGATTTGTAAATCAAATAATAGATAGTAAATGGATCGGTCTGAAAATAAATGAGTTGTTGGTCGTAGAATATTATTCCCGTCAGACTTGATTCTAACGAAAATAAAAAAGCAAGGTTCATATCAATCTTGACTCCTTTCGCTGAAGTAAATAGAGTACCCTGTGCCCTG